CTCATTAGCAATGAGCTGCCTCCCCTGCAATTTATTTGAAGTTAGTTACAATTACATACGCAGCGGTAAACCTATTGTAGTAATATAGATTAAGTTCTTGCATGATGTTAACTTTATACTCAAYGTTGAAGGAAAGTTATTAGTGATTTCTCCTCATCATGGCTTTCCGTCTTTAGTTTTCTCCCTCTCCTTGAAATCAAATGTGCTGCACTGAAAGTCTTATTGTTGCTACAATTTGTGTCATTTTAGGGACCAGTCCTTTGGAGCTTGTTAAAGAAACAAATTTTCAGAGAGGTAACAATGTTGAGATTTGCTCAGCTTGGCAAGCCAGGGGCTTTACATCATGCTTGTTTTTATTGGTCTTTTATTTTGCAGCTTCTTTTTCCTGCAGTTTTCTTTTTTTAATTTTTGAACTCCTTTCTTTCCTCTCTTCTCCGTGTYGATGAGCTTTTTCTCTCGACTTTCATTTTCTCATTTCTTCCCCCCATTTCTCTCCTCCTTCCAGCCTTTTAGCCCCGCTGTCATCTATTTTTAGTTCCTCGTGTAGCTGGCAGAGGAGGTGCGTGAAAGCATGGGTGAGTGTCTGTTGTGGGGGTGTGTGTGTGTGTGTGTGTGTGTGTGGGCATGTTTGGGTCTCCATCACGTTACAGTGAATTTCCCTGCATGAGGCAAACTGCAGTCTTCAGAAAGCCATCAGGGAAAGGATGCAGAGACTGTGCTGTGCTAAATCTGATRGTAATTACTACCAACCAAAGTTGCTAATTTTGGATAATGAGTAATTCAATTTAATCTCCCCATCATCTGTGCTAGAAATAACTGTCAGTAATTATTTTGGCAGATATTCATTAGATCAGTCACAGAGGTACTGATATGCCTGTGTAATAAAGTTGCTTTTGATTTTGCTGAGAGTGAAATAAAAAAAAAACATTTTTGCCCCTGTGGTGTGGTTTATTGGGTCAAAGTGAGTCTCAAGTAAAGTGGAGATGCAGCATTTCATACAACATTGCTATCCATAATGCACAGTGTTTGTGGTTTAACACTGAATTATAGATTTATGTTTTAGCAAACATTTTTTTAATGAAGTAAAATCATCATACAGCTGTAGCGTTTGCTGTATGTGAGSGTGTATGTTCAACACATAGCATTTATATGATGCTTGTTGCTGTAACATTACCACTGCTTTGTTCCTACTTCAGTTTAAAGAGTCAGGAGAAAATATTTTTTTTCCTGGTTTTTGCCCATAACAATTCCACATGATTCTGCACTTAACACCACGAGTTTTTAACAGGATGCCTTGAGCATTCTGCTTTAAAGTAGGAACATCTGTGTTGAACCAAGTCATTCAGTTTTTTAAGATAAAATGAATTTTATTGGTGCTTTTGAGAKGAGAAAATAAAATAAAATTTCAAGGGTTATTTCTAAATCTAAATGGCTCACATTAAGACATTTCTTCAGCTTGTTTCCCCTTCATTTTCTTGGACTGTATACTTTAGATGAGCTGCACGCTTATTGTTTTTTTACTTAACCAGTTGTTAAAACCCATCTTAAAAAAWWACATCTTACTTTGATGGTTTCAGTTTAATCTGTTCCTGCAAAATCATTTATTTATTTAGAGTATAGTATCAAAATTATACAAAAGAGCAAAGAAATTTGAGTTTTGATTTTGCAAACTCATAACAATAAYTTCATTTTCTTACATTAGGTTAACTGTATTTTATCATTTTATTTTATTTTTTAGTTATAGTTTACTTGAAATATAAACAAATAGCACATATCTTGTATATCCCAGTCTAATCTCGAAGTTTCTACAGTGTAATTGGTTTACAATCATAAAAGTTCTTCATGTGGTCATGATGACATGCAAACAAAGATTGTAAAGATTTGTCTATGTCCTCAATTCCTAAACATAGGTTTTCCCAGCTCTAGGTTGCAGTTGTTAATTTTAGTTGTGTGAAGCAGTTTGTTTAAATTACAGGATGATTATCAGTTAAAAAAGTAAGGAGGTGTGGAAGGGAGGGGGTAGAAAGCAGCCTCGTGTCTCTGCAGGTGATTCATTGGTTGGAAACACAGACAKTGGGAGGAGCCTCAGCGCTGCTGTTTCTGCCGAGAGAGGCAGAGGGAGTGAGGAACAGACAGCAGAGCAGAATAAATGAACACAGAGGGGTTCTCCCGACATCAACAGAAGTAACCGCTGAGGAGATTTTATTTTACTTTTTCAATTGGACCAGCTTTTTGAATTCAGCTATCTGACGCACAGCCTTTGTCATCTCAGCGTAGAGTTTTCTGCTGTGGTTTCCCTGCGACAGACCAGAATGAAACTGACACAAGTCTAAGTGCAGATGGAGAAGTGATCTGAAYGGAGGATGAAGCCTGAAAGCAGAGGAGAAATGATGCCTAATCATGCCCACAGTATGTGCACGCAGCTCATTAAACAATGAGCCGGTGACTGAGTGGACTACCGATTTATAAACATTTCCAATCTGGAAATTCTGCATCTGCAGCAGATGTTGAGGACATATCACACTTCGATGGAGGCCTTTCAAGTTTAAGCTGGACCTGAATTCCTTGAAATTTGCTTGTTTTTGGCCTGTACCTGGGAACTGAAGAGTTTAACAAAAGAAAACCATTAACTTTTCTCCTTATTGGTTTTGACTGCACTGGTATTGCAATTGTGTCTGCATTGAGTTCAATCCCAGGGGACCTTCTAACCTTTATCAGCCCTTTTCATCTTTCCTGCCTTTCAAAATGCTCCATAAAGATGCTTGTTTGGACTGAAACCCCACTACTTTTAAAGGCAGCCAGCTATCRAACAAAATAGTGGGTTTTTGGATTTACCGTACCCTTAAAGGGCCCCCTCATATGCATTGCATCTCAAGAYCATGAATTCCTCCCTGGATCCGCTGAACCAGAGCTCCACTGACTCGTCCACCTCTTCTGCTCCTTTCTGCTTACTTGAGATAAGCTATTCCCAAATTATCACCACCTGCCTCCTGGAAGTATCACTCATACTTCTCCTGACTGTTCTTATTATTTGTGGTAACTTGGTGGTGATTTTTGTGTTTCACTGTGCCCCGTTGCTTAGTCAGCACACTACCAGTGCATTCATCCAGACTATGGCATATGCAGATCTGCTGGTGGGGGTCAGCTGCCTGTTCCCCTCGCTGTCGCTGCTCCATCAACTCCAGGATCTGGATCATAAACTCACCTGCCAGGTGTTTGGCTATATGGTGTCTGTTTTAAAGTCCGTTTCAATGGTGTCTCTCGCTTGTGTGAGCGTAGACCGCTACATCGCCATCACCCGGCCCTTGACTTATTCGTCGCTGGTAACGCCTTGTCGAGTGCGCTGCTGCATCGTTCTGATCTGGTTCTACTCTGCGTTGGTGTTCCTCCCGTCTTTTTTCGGATGGGGCAAGCCTGGCTACCACGGCGATGTGGTGGAGTGGTGCGCAGTGAAGTGGAGGACTAGTCCGTCGTTCACGTCTTTTATTGTCGCGCTGCTCTACGCCCCGGCCGCTCTCACCRTCTGCTTCACCTACGCCAACATCTTCAAGATTTGCCGACAGCACACCCGCGAGATCAGCGAGCGCCGTGCACGTTATCGACCCCAGCAGCAGCAGGGCCCGGGAGTGACAGCAGGATCTGCAGTCAAGGACACCGGCAGAGTGGAGCAAGGACAGTGTCCCCACACATCCAACACGCACAAGCCTCAGCACCACCAATTTCATTATCAGCCGTCCACGCCGACCTACCCAGACAAGCGATACGCTATGGTTTTGTTCCGCATCACTAGTGTGTTCTACATCCTGTGGTTGCCCTACATCCTGTACTTTCTGCTGGAGAGCGGAGGGATATACCACCACCGAGCAGCCTCGTTTTTCACAACGTGGCTGGCCATCAGCAACAGCTTTTGTAACTGTCTCATCTACAGCCTCTCCAACTCTGCTTTCAGGAAGGGCCTGAAACGCCTCTGCTCCTTCTGCGTGCAGCGCAGCGGCGGAGGCTTTGGAGTTCAGAAAAAGCCTTTTGTTGGGTCCGTTGAAAAGAGTTGTGCCAGGCAAGGGTATGGCTATGGCCACAGGGAGGTGGGAGTGGGTTCAACGTGTCATGTGTAGTTCAGATGCAGAAATACTGTTGTGGCAACGTTGAGCTTAGGGCAGAAATGTCTGAAGGACTGCTTTAACTCCAGTGAGAYCTTCTAAGAAATGGGTGAAGGCATTGTTCTGACACTGCTGTTTCTGTTGCAAATGACTCTCTGTACACAGCTGGAAAAGACATGGATCAGAGTCGAGACCAAAGCAGTGAAGATGAAAATGGCTTATTAGTGCTTCATAGTTCTTTAATGATCATAGACACATGGTGTATTATGTATGAGKCTAACAGATGAAGTGCTTTAGTATGAATAAGAGAAGAGTCTCTTTGTTGGAGTAAAGTGTTTAATTGAGGTTGAACAAAATTTTAATTTACTGGCGTTCTTTTTTGGGAACTGAATACTTAACTTATTTTGCCAAAACAACAAAATGATACAAGAAAAGTTATTTGTGCYGTATGTGGAACAATGTGACCTTCATTGATGGGACACTCCGTGTTGAGTGCAACAAAAAAAAAATCTGTCTTATCAGAACAAGTGGCTGCTGTAATTGACTAAGATTGTACTGAGGTGAACATGTTGTGATCTTACCTTGACGGAACTGAATAGTTTCTGTTTCTGGTTAGATTGACTAACTGAGCGGACAGATGTTTAAATCCAGAACACAATGAATGGATTTATTTTCATTTGTTTGTATTTAGATATTACTTAATGATATTTTAAAAATGATAAATGCTGTAAATGTTTTTAACCAAATTGTGGGTTTGCACGCTGCACCTATTTGTAATATGACCCCTATTTGGTGTACGACTGTTAGACTGACAAAATGTAGCTTAATGTTTTTTTTTTGTTAGTTTGTTTAGCAATATTTTAAATTTTTTCTACTTTCATTGCAATTTTATTTTTCGATTATGTAGCATAAATTCAACTCTCGAGTCTTGTCAAGAAATGACAAAATATATTTCAAACAAGATTGTTGGTACATCCATTGATTTCTTTTACTTAAATGTAAAGATGTTCGTTTAGATAACTCTTTTTGAGTCTTGGTGGGATTAGATGAAGAATAGCCTAAGCAAAAAATAAATAAATAAATAAAAAGAAGAAGATTTGTGATGTTAAAATGAACATTTATAAAGTGTTTTAAACATGTTTAAAGAAACAATAGAATCAAAACACTCCTGTGGTAAACTAACATGTGTAACATCATGAAGAGGCAACTTGTTCACTAACTTTGTGTGATGTGTTGTGTTTGTAGCATGTGTGTGTGCGTGTTTACAGGGTTTGTATTGTTATTTATTGCAAAAAACACTTAGCTCAAATTAATCTAAAATAGCAGTCTAACATTAAAAATTGTAAAAGTATAATTAATGGTAAATTAGGTGCAGATTTTTTATAACTTTTCAACTTTTGTTTACAGTAATGTGCCAAAGAAAGTTCATAATCTTGAATTAAAACAAAAATTCTTTCAGTTTTTCCTGTAGGTGTGTTTGATGAACTTGAGTAGTTTTTACACAGAAGTTGTGTAAAGGGTCAATTGCACTGTTTAGGATTAGTGAAGCCTTATGTGCATGAATATAACTGYTTCTTTCAGTATTTTGTAATTTATAGTTGCCTTGGTTTAAAAAAAAAAATCAAACTGAAAATTTTCCTACTTGTTTTTTCTTAAACAACAARCGAGGGCTCAGTTAGTCGGCACATGACTGTTTTTAAAAAGCGCAGACTGAAAACTGAATTCAAWGACATAAAAGACCAACCAGCAAAAGGTTACTTGGAAACCTCTTTTAACTACTGTTTTTTCTGAGAAGGAATAAAAACTAACTTTTTTCTTTAAAAGATCAAACATTAGAATGATGAATCCTCACTTTAGTAAAAATTAAACCAACCAGAAKTACAAGTATATTTATGGTATTTATTTGTTTTTATATGCATAGAGGGTACAATGTTGCAATTAAGCCCAGATTTACCCAGCTGTCTGACTGTTCACTGTGCTCTGCTCTGTTTTTGTGAGTGTACTGTTTAATATGACTACAATAACATTTGATAAAGGTTTTTTAGCTGTCATTTGTAAACCTTTGCCAAATATTGTAATCTTTTTTTATCGAAACCATCTTCTTTTCTCCTATCAGAATAATAATCACACAAAGATTACGAGAGTACACGACATTTCTTTTCTTTCTTTTTTCTCCTTCATTTCTTTTTGTTCTCTTGTGAAGTCATAAATGTTGTGCTGTCTAGGCATCTCTAGCAGCGCACTTTTCAACAGACATGGCCGAGTTTTTTTCTCCTTTTACATGATTACGTGATTCCGCTGTTTATGYCGTTTTAGTTTGGAGAAACAGTTGGTGTTAAATTTAAGTTTAAGACCAAAAACCTTTTCATTACCGTGGTAAATAATTGTACAGCAACAGTGTAAGATGTAAAACAAAGTGTTATAAACAAAGATGCCAAAAAAAGCTGATTCTTTCTTCTTGGGAAGAAACAATCAGCTTGGATTTTCTGAAGGAAATGACTGGAGGCTGTGAGGAAATTCAGTGCCACGTTGATTAGAACGGATCTTGGGAAGAGGAAATATAGATTTTCAAGTTGATTTAGAAAAGTATCTTTAGCTGAAATGCAGCCATTTCATTGTTGAAATAAAATTGTTTGTGGTGAGAAAATTGAGAATGGAGGTCAAGCACAGCAGTGAAAGGATAGTAATTTATAAGATCAAAAAGCCACTTCTGTATAAAAAGCTCAAAATAATGTAAAGTAAATAAAAAACCCAAGTTTTTTTTACTTCAATAAGTACTACTTTGATTGTGTTTTCACTTAATGTTTCTTTTTAATACAAAGCTCGAGATGATTGCAAGCTATGCAGAAAATTTGTTTATGTTGTTGCCTTTTTGGTTTATTCCCTTTTCATTGTTTTAATCCAAGCCAATAGCTTTAAGTGCATCATCAGTGTTTGGACCAGAAATCAACTTAAAAAAAACATTTACATTATGGACTGCATAAGACTGAAAGTGTAGTTYCCTAGCTTAGTTTTTATCTTTATTTTTTTGTATTTAATATTAATTTTTTATCTTTTTATTTGAGCAACAATTAATTCTCTCGCATCACACAAGATAACACTGCCCATTTTAACTAAACCCTGGTTTGAAAACGTTCCAAGCAAAAAAAGAATAGTCTCTGCATTTAGTTTTTTTTTTTTTACAATAAATGCAGAGAATTTACTTAGTAAGCCATGAGGCCTTGTAAGTTCGAGACTTTAGAAATTAAAGCCATCATCATGTTGATCCCAACCAAACACGTCATGGTTTATGAGAAGAGTGTGTTTGACTTTATGATGAACTGCTTTTAAAAGACTGTGAATGTCAATCTGAAACAGTCAAATATGTTTAATTGTGCTGTTTATGAAAGAAAGCGAGACGTGGTGCTTTGTAAATGATAACGGTTTCGTAAAACTGCTTGTGGTGTATCTGTGCTGAACAAATAAATGTGATCATATCTCAGTGTGTGAAAATGATCTTGAATAAAATCCCTTATTAAGCCATGGAAATTTGGATACTTCGTGTTTGTGTGCATTAATGGGTGCCATAGAAAGAAAACACAAAACGAATATCTAGTTTTTTATCTTTAGATTAAAGTAAATATTTGCACGTTAGCCTTTCGTAGAAAGATTAAAATGCCAGAGGAAGTTGTTAGGAATATTTGCTCGGTTTTTGTGTTATCAAATCAAAACTTCCTTTTACATTTCTGTTTTAATCACACTCATATTTTGTTAGCTGTGCTAAAATGGTACAAAAAATAGGGCAAATATTAGGTTTTAATGAATATGAGCAAAACAGTGTGAGTGGTAACTTTAGTCTAATTATTTTGAAGCAAAGATAAGGACGTAAAATAACTTAAATAAATAAATAGTTTATGTTTACAGTTACTGTCATTTCATATTTTTTAAATTTAAATTTCATTGTGTCAGAAGATCAAAATGTAACATCTAGGTTTGAGCTACAGAGTAAGGCTTGTTGTGAGTCTGATAAATATGGCATTTTGATGTTTCAGCTGTTTTTTTTTTTGTTGTTGCACAGATGGAATAATCAGCTTTGTGTTGAGTCAGAGGAAATCAGGGGCAAACAATAGTGGTGCTGCTCAGCATTCCCACAGAACCAGAAACCCTTTTCTGCTTTTTTCCTCCTTTTTTGTCTTTTAATAAACAAGTTTAAAAACTACAGCTTTTTCATTTATAGCATACTTTCTCCTTATAGCCTACTTAAGAGGTTCTAATTTTATCAGAACATGTTTTGTCCTGAGAGTTTTGGCTTCTCATCTTATTTTTCTTTGTCACTGATGGCAACCGATGCTGTGATGAAACAATCCTTTAACAGAAAGAGAGATGCACTTTTGTATCTGTAGCTTTTTGCTGTCAAATGTCACTTTTATCTTTTCATGGTTGTCTTGTGGTTATTTGAGAAGGGCAGCGGTTCATCAGTAAAACAAAACAACTTTTTGAAGCACCTTCGGATTAAAATTTCTTTGTTTATCACAAGCTCAGGCTTCAGCACCAGTGTAATGAGAGTATGAATATGTTTGCTTTTTCCTCTCACGCGACACTCATTACAAATCGTTCCTTTACCGAACAGACAGATGGACAAAGTGGAAAGTAATTGACCATTATGTTGGAGGTCTTTGTTCATTCTCTCACCACTTCRGATAAGTATGGCTAAGTGGTGCTTGTATAAACATGGATTGCTATCTTATACTCCGAAGCCAAGTGTAATTTACCCGTCACAGTAAAACAAGTATCTATGCTTGTGCCTTGAAAGACRTCTTTTGTGTAGTATTCTCTATGAATGATCAGATTTTCTGAATTAAACAAGAACTGAAACTTAAATCTGAGTTTATTTATTGCTACTTTTGTTGTTTTATGGTGCCTAACTCAGTGTTGTTTATGTGTAGTATTACACATAAAATGCTTATTGGGCTGCAGAATACATCACAAATCATTGCGATAACAGCCTGTGCAATAGGCATATTGCAAAAAAAAAAAAAAACCTAAACTGCGATAAATGTTCGGCTCAAATATTTGCATGTATTTGTTTTTGTCAGCATTAGTYTGATAATCAAATTGGACCCGAGACACCACATCAAATCATCACCACTTGGTGAGTGAAGGATATTGGAAAACTGCAAAGAGAGAATTTGCAGCTGGATTTAGGTTTGTTACCTTTTATTAAAAATCATTTACCGGTAACTTATTTTCAGATGGTTTTTTTGCGTTTTTAAAAATGTTTGCCAGTAAGGGGTTTCTTTCAGTATTTAGAGCATCAGAGAATGTTTATGGGGYGATGTTTTAAATTCAATAATAAACTGTTTGTTTGTTGCTTATTGTTTGTTGTTTCACTTCTAAAGAGCTCGACACACGGGGGGCGACGTCGCTCGCTCTCCATTCATTTCCTATGGAGCTTGTGCAATGAGGCAACAATCACTTGCCCTCCAGCCAAGCGACCGGCGAAAATTGTGCATGTGAAATTTTGCACTCCTACATATGGACGTGCACACGCGAGCTTGCAACGCGACATATGAAAGTTGAAAAATATTCAAATTTTGACCCTGTCGCTTGGTGTACAACCAATCACTGAGGGTTTCATTGACTGACCAATGAGCGTAGTATCAGACCATTATTGTTAGTCTGTGATCACCATTAGCTTTTTTTTCTTGCATTTCTTTTAATAATTCCATTATTTTTGGCTCATTCTCTTCCTTTGTGGAAGATGGAACAGAAACTACTGAACGAGGAAGGGATTGAGGGGTAACTTTATAGGTACTGCAACAAAATCCAAGAATGTATTATTGGTCATTAAGTTTTGAAGATAGATGGGGGAAATAATGAGTAACTAAAATTAGAGATTATTCTCTGCCTTGGTTTTTGTTTGTGTTTATTTTTGAAGATAAAGTTGCACATGCTGCTGTTGCTGTGATTTTCGAGCTTGACCTTGAACTTAGATTTACGATAAGCTTCAGTTCTGCAAATGTGTCTTTGGGCATTACAGGAAGTAAAAATAAATCAAAGGAGGCTTTTGAATCCCTGGTGTGTGGTAAACATTTCCTTCAGAATTTAATGGAGTTTTTGAACATTACAATAAATATTGTTTTAAACTTGAGGCCAGTTTATGGCGTCCGGAATCATCATGCCTAGGGCCTCACCCTTGCCTGCTGCCTGGCCTTTACAGCACCTTGATAAGCTCCTTGGAAATGGTGTGCCCACTGTTTCCTATTTTTTGTTCCGGCTTATCCTAACTGAGCCGCAGGAGCCAAAGCTCGACAGCTAGGCGCTCGCCGATAAGCCTCCCCCTCCAGGTCTGGCTCCAGGAGGGTGCATCAGTTTTCCTGTTCTGGATGAGGTTGCCTGTTTTATGTAGTCATCTTTCTTTAAGGTTTTTAGATTGCTCTTAGTCTGACCGCACCCCGGAGACCAGTTTGTCATTGGAGACTACCAGGGGCTAACACCCTAGACAACAGATGCCCCAGGATCATAGGGGTACTCAAACTCAAACATATGGTGGTAACAACAATTGGATGGATAGGTGATTTTGTTGTTTAGTTCCGAATGTTGCATGAATATGACCCAATATGCTCCTCAACACGCATTTCCTCCAAATGCTTCTGAGAATTTCTTGAAGTGCATATTTTATTTTTTGTCTTAGAGTAACAAACATTACTTATTTAAATGTTATTTCTGCAAAATACACTGGAAATCAATGCTGAAGTGAGCAGTAATTAATCTTTGCAAAGCAAGACCAGTCATTAGTGGAGTATTTACTGATCCCAACATGTGGTGTTTCCTGCATTTGGTGCTTTGTCATCGCAGGTGAGAGATATTGATAATAGGTTTCCCTGGACTTGTGTCGTTCCAGTCTGCAGTCAACATTACGTCTTTTGTTGAGAAATATGATGAGGGTAAATGATTTTAGTTTTGTGAAATAACTCAACCGAAAATAATTTGCCATGAAATATTAACAGTGTTTATTGGTTAGTTCTTTTTAAAGATTTTAATATTCAGGTCAAATTTACATTTTCCTTTTGAAGTTGCTAAATACTTGTGTTACTAAAGCTGGAATAAAAAAACAAAATTGTACAGTAGCTGGGGTTGCATCATCAGTGTTAGCCTTGATATTTAGTGAAGCGATAATGTTAAATGAAAAAAACTATTTCTAGCTCTTTTGCTTCAACTCACTTGAAAATGTAATGAGGTTAAGAACAAAATGTTTGGAGACATTTGTTGGAACTTAGAAAAACAAAACAGAGCTGAAGAGCAGATTGTGAAATTTGTACTTATAAAAATTGGAGACTCGACAGGAAGAGAACAAAAGAACTATTGAGGTCTTAAAACAATCAACAGCAGATAAACACTAACAGATAAACATCTGGAAATTATTTCTTTTAAGAAATTGAGCAAAACCTGTCCAATTGTTGTCTAATAGATCTTTGGGAATCACTGTAGAACTAACATACTCCATACTGTTACCTTTTGTATTTTTGACAAGTTTGTTTTAAAAGAAATTATTGAATTGTGTCATTTTATAAGGGTACTTCTAAAAGATCATGTTGTTTATGTTTAGATGCAATTCAGGTTTTGTTCCTTATGTTTATGAGCCTTTTTCATGCCTGAATTATTACTTAGTGAAACTTTGGTGGCTTAACAAACAGAAGCAGTAGAAAGCCAACATACAATTTGGAAAGACATTTGTAAAGACACCTTTAAAACATTACAAGAGAGTTCAGCTCCTTAAAAGCAGCACATAAAAGTTAAACTGATACAAATTTTTAGTTGTCATTAAAAAAAGTTACAAAAATGCTACAAGACTTGCACATTTTCACAGACTCACAATTCTGAACTCACATTTTTATATAAAAAACTTTGTTTTAGTAAGACTGTACATGGATTATGTTAAGACATGGTGGTTACAAATAAATGGGGTAAATATTCACTTTTTTAAATAAGAAGTATTTCATTGTTTCTTATACTGATGCAACTATTCTTAATATTTAGTCAATTCGACCATGGTTGCTGCTTTGGCACTACTGTGGCATTTACCTCTGTTGAAAACCATCCTAAGCAAAAAAGGCCATTTTGCTGAACCCACATTATAGTCCATGACAAACCCTTTAGGCCCTTGTTCCCCTTCCTCCAGTTACACCGTTCTGCACAAATAAAACCTCAGATTTTGATAAAAAGGAGACTGCATGTGTACAGCAAAACTGCCCTTAAAGTCAGTACAAGAAAACACGTAGAAAACCTTTTTTCTGTATAAAATGTTAACAACTGTGGTTGTTGAAGCTGAGAATAAAATCCAAACACCCTCTTATCAGCCTGGCGTTTCTCCAAAAGATTGTTCAGTCTCTGGATTGTTATTTTTTTTATCATTTTAATCACTTTGAAGAAGCTTATTGTATCATTTTCTCAGAAGATAATGCACATTTGACCATTTCTAGAAGATACGGCATCTGTTTTGTGTAAAATGACCTTTTCTCTGATTTATTTTTAATGGTTGGTTTACTGGTGATGTGAACTAGGAAATACTTTCGATGTTTTAAATGGCTTCAAATTCAAACTGTAATAAACAGAAGCAGTTTTTTACAGAGCTGCTGAGCTGTGGACGGTCTGTACATTAGAAGAACACTCTGTGCTTCCAGTTTTATTTCCTACCCCACATTGTAAATCTCAACCTCGTGTGGGGGTACGATATTCAATAAAACACCAAAAACTGCCTGCTGTTAGCGAAGGTTTTATTTCTTGGATACACAAAAGTAAAACTATTATGATCTAAAAATAAAATTATTATCTTGTTTTGGTCTCTTTTACCATTTCTCTGCCTTCCTTTTACTCAATGTAGCTTTCTTTTTTCCTCCCAGGAATCCCCCCAGGACAGTGCAATCACCAGAGAYATTAACAGGACGTTCCCAGCCCATGACTATTTCAAAGACACTGGAGGAGATGGGCAAGACTCACTGTACAAAATATGCAAGGTGGGAATCAAAACACAGGTGGTTTATTTCTCTGCGAAGTCAACGCAGCAAACTATGCAGAGTCATAACAATGACTTCACACAGCGCACAAAGCTGCAGCAACAGCTGCACGCTAAATGAGCTGTCAACTGTTTTGGATCATATCTGCAAAAACAAATCAGCAGCACACTTTCCTCTGCTTTGTTCTACACTGACTTTTGTTACACTTGCATTTAAAAACTGTTTTTTGAATCTTGTTACAAAACATCTGTTTCATTTACAGACTTCATACATATAAAACTAGTTTTTGGTATTTGCATAAAGTTAAAGACTAATATCAAAGCTGCTTCATCTCACATGTGAGATACAATAAAGACAATTTAGATAGACTTTTTTGCTGCTATAATCTGTATTCACAGTGTGTTGACCAATAAGATGTTGCACTTACAAAACTCATATACTCCAACATTTTTGATGTAAGCAGGTGAACCAAACTGTTAAAACTTTAAAGGAGACATGTYCTGTTTTTAAATCCTTGTTTTTCACATTTAGATCATTCAGTTGGGGTCTATATAAAGTGGAACTGTAATTATTTGGTCTGAATTCCTCCTCATTGTAACTCCACAAGCCCTTCTTTCACCCCTTTTCTGAGGCTTTTCTCAGATCAACTCATTTTGAGGCTGTCYCTTTAAATTCAAACGAGTTGCTTCACACCCCACTCCTTAATTTGCATTATATAAGGGTAGAAAACAAAAAAGCAGTACTTATTTTAATATAAAAAAATCTGAGAGAACTTGGCACTTCAGTGTTTAGGATATGAACTCTCTCTCTCTCTCTCTCTCTCTCTCTCTCTCTCTCT